CTTTGAAAAATGTCCTGAACTTTTTGATCAAAGACTTCCCCTTTTCAAACATGCTGAGGCGGAATTCGACTCTTCAATGTTCGTAGGAACCTTGATTCCATCCAAAAAAGCAATGGTGTCTAATCTTGAAGAAGAAACGCCTGACAAAGAAATTGAACATGTGAGAAAGAAATCAACTGAGCTGCTTGAGGGTACAAGGCAGGTACAAAAGGTTGCTACAGTTTATGGATATATATTTGATCTTTCGTTCAGATGTCAAAATCAAATCCTCGTCTGTGGTTCTTACAGAATCAAAAAGAGTTTTAAGATTCGTGCCTTGGATTTTGATGGAAAAGAAGTTATGTCGATCCGCGTTCAAAAACAACCAAACTACATCACACAATCTCACGATGAAACGATTTTTTACACGTCAGAAAGTCAACAAGGTGTACAAAGAGTTAAAAATGGAACTATTGAGACAATTACTTTAGACAGTTCTTGGAAACCAAGAGGCCTTTCCTGCAGTTCTGATGATATAATCGTAGCTGAGCATAATGAAATGACAAATCTAGGACGTTTGAGTATCTATACATCAGATGGTGAGAGGCGGAAAATCATTGGTGCCATTGGCTCACACCATGAACTCGTAAAGCCCACATATGTTTGTGTCAACAGTAATTCGGATATCTGCACCTCTGATGAAGGGAGACAAATGGTTTTTGTGTTCATTTCATCTGGTGATTTGAAATTTATGTATAAAGGCAAAAAGGGATTTAAGTCTTTCACGCCTCGAGGCCTCGCTACGGATTGTTTGGGTAACATCCTTATTGCTGACTATATAAATCATGCAATACATGTGATTGACTCCGAAGGAAATTTTTTGAGATATATTTTGAAAGACATTAATTTTCCTACTGCTCTGGCAATTGATGACAGAAGAAGACTCTTACTGGGACAATATCTAGACGCCAGCATTCAAGTAGTGGAGTATTTAAAACCTTCATAATAGTCAAGAATCGCGAAAATAATGTTGAAAATGAATGAAAAATAAAAGTAATTGACAGACAATTCATACCGTGCTATAATTTTTGAACGCTTAATAACATCAATTAAAATTATTTTTAGCACATAACATTGATTCTTTAAACTGAGAATCCAAATTTTGTTTTGAATGATGCATAGCAACATGAATAAAAGTCTTTCTGTTTGTCGTTCGTGTATTACAATTACCAAATCCTCTCAGCTATCTCAACAACGTAAAACAAAGTACATATAGAAACTTTGCCAGAGTGTGCTTAAACATTCTAGAATGCTAATCTCAATGCAAACACATGTTGCTTGAAACTGATATTCATAAAGGAAAGAAATACGCCACTGTTCTTTTTTTCTTGCCATCAGCATTAAGTAAAGCACTGATGTATCCCTTCTATTTTTAGATTTAAACTCAAGACACGTGGTTTAGGTGGACCTATTCAAGGGCTCTAGAGTTGAACCGTTTTTATAAATAAAAGTGGCAATAAAAAGGAAATTGATTTTGTCTGCTTCTTTTAAAAATGTTTTATATCATAAAATAAATTCCGTCTTTTCCGTTATGCTGTATCTGTTATTTGGATTATAATTAAAGTGTACATTAATTAACATGGAAAAGGGTCATGTTATGTAAAGAGAATTGTTAAGGTAGCCTATGTACGGAGACACATAAAATGATTTTCAAAGCAAATATGTTAATATTACTTGAAATTCAAAGCGCAGACATGTTTCCTTGTTATTAAATGTAGTAGCCAGTTAAACATGTTTTTATTATTTTCATAGATTTTATTTTCTTTCAAAGACATCTATTTACGTATCCCGGTCGGTCTTTCCTCTGTCAATCGTAACAAAGATTTTGCAAAAATTACAAAATATACTTTTTATTGTTTATTAATTATACAGATTAAACAATGGTAAAAAAAATTGGGGTTTTTATTCAATTAAAAACATAGGGTATTTAAGTTTCCTACAAATGTGTGAAATAATTATTTTTCTTACCAAACAGTGGAATTATAGCAACACTTTGAAGCATAATAGCTTTTGTCAACTACTAGTATATTATTTACTAAAATAAGTTATTTAACAATGTTTTCAATCTTTAATATGATAAAGAACATACCCAAATAATTACAAAAAGTGATTAATATATATATACCTTTACCCACTCACCAATAAGAGATACCGATGCTATATTCTTGATCTTTTTACACTTACACGGATTTAATTATTAAATGACTGTTTGGGGCTACTTTCGGATTAAAATGTTAATAAAAATTGTACCCTTAATTTAAAAGATCATTATTTAATAGAAAAATTGTAATAAAACTCAAGAATATGAATAAGTAACAAATTATTATGAAAAGGAATGCACATCATTTCATGATAAATATCACAAATGCACACACAATCTACAACACATTTTTTTTATTTCAAGATGTTTAAAGCATTTTATTGCATTTAATTTCTAAATAACGTAGATATTTGAAATAGTAATCAAATGCAATAGTTTTCGTCAAAGTTTTTCAAAGTGTCAAAGTTTTCGCCAAAGTTTTTCAAAGTGTACAAAGTTTTCGTCTTTTAATGTTTTTCAATGTCAACTTTCGATATATTTTTCAGAAAGTGTCAAAAATATTTTCGAACAAAGTTTTTTGTTTACCTTAATGTAATTTTCGAAATTTTTCAAAGTGTCATCAGTTTTCGCTCAAAGTTTTCAACAGTGTCAAAGTTTTCGCCAAAGTTTTTCAAAGTGTCAAAGTTTTTGTCAAAGTTTTTCAAAGTGTCAAAGTTTTTGTCAAAGTTTTTCAAAGTGTAAATAATAGACTAAAATATAGAATTTTCGAAAAGTTTTTGTCAAAGTTTTTCAAAGTGTCAAAGTTTTTGTAAAGTTTTTGTCAAAGTTTTTCAAAGTGTCAAAAGTTTTTGTTAAAGTTTTTCAATGTAAAAGTTTTCAGCCAAAATATTTCAAAGTGTATGTTTTCGCCAAAGTTTTTCAAAGTGTCAAAGTTTTCGCCAAAGTTCTTCAAAGTATCAGAATTTTCCATAAAGTTTTTCAAAGTATCAAACTTTTCCAATAAGTTTTTCAAAGCATCCCAAGTTTTTGATAAAGATTTTTAAATTTTCAAAGTTTTTGATAAATTCATGGATGTTCTATTTTTATGTCATGGAAATAATTAGTTACAGATTTGCAAAAAAAATTTTCCGATGTCAAACATGCAGCTCATATTGCATTAAAATGAACGTGTACATTAATTGACATGGCAAAGGATCATGTTATGTTTGGCTTAGATGGCATGTACAAAGACACGTAAAAGGGATCTCGAAGCAATTATCGTTACTGTTATGGATATTCATACGGAGGTTTCCGTAAGTTTATTAAACAGGTTATTATTATTTTCATTGATTTTACTTTCTTTTGATGACATCTAATTACGTATCCCGGTTGGTCTTTCCTCTGTCATTCGTAACAAAGATTTTGCAAAAGAACAACAAAATATAGTTGGATTTCAATTGTTGCTAGAATCCCGAGATTAGCACGGTAAAACAAAAAAAATATTGGGTTTAATATATACAATTCAAAACATAGGGTATTTCAGTTTCCTCCAAGTGTGTGAAATAATTATTTTTCTTACCAAACAGTGGAATTTTAGCAACACTTTTAAGCTAAATAATTTTTTTTCAATTACTTTTATATCATTTACTCAAATAAGTTATTTAATTCAGTGGTACTATTGTTCTGTTTATTTCATTTTATTAAGGAACATTTGCTATAAATAGAAACACGTGACGTCGCTGTAGTGTTGCATGCTTCTGCCTCAGACTTTTTTTTATCTATATGTAATAGTTGATAATAATTTACGTTTGGTAAATCATTAGACTTTATTTTCTTGAAAAACGTTTAGATTTCCAGAGGTTGAATTTGATTGCTTCCTTAACATACTCAAGATTTGATTGAAGAATGAAAATATGTATATGACATGATGAACAACTAAAATAGTGGATGGAATTATTTTGATTTCAAGATGTTGAATTTCAAAGCATTTTAGTGCATTTAATTTTTAGATAGCGTGGGTCTTTGAAATAGAATACACATGCAAAAGTTGCTGTCGCCAGACCTTGTGTAAAGTGCCTCGTTGGTAGAACGTAATGTTCAATATACTGAGAGCTTTTTTTCTTTTGTATGAGTGATTTCATCTCAGCCAAGATATATATTTAGAACATCAATTGAAACAAAAAAATATCATGAACTACAATGCTTTTGTTTATCTTTATGTAATTTGTGGAGATAACAAACATCATTCAAGCTCTAAAGTCCATGCAACAATAGAAAATAGGAGCAGAGCAAATACAGACATCCGGAGCATCAGTGGTCGAATCAGCTGCCATTGAAGATGGAGCATCGCCTGCTGATCGGTCACATCAACCGTGTGCTCTTTGTTATGAACTGGAAATGATGAAATCCGCCGTCAATTCAGTGTGTAAATAATGGACTAAAATTTAGTATGAAAAACATCAGGCAGCATGTGACTCAATACTAAATTGCATTTAATTTGTTGACAAGATCATTTTATCGATCATGGAAGATTTTTTAAAGGAATCATAAAAGTATGTAGCCAAAATATTAAAGTTATGCTTCTCGACCTTGTGATCAAGTCGGTACTTTTCTAGCAGTATGAAGATATGCAGCAAAAACTCAAGACTTTCTAACATATGTGACAAGGGTACAGTGATTAGAGTGCGTCTAAATAAGATGCCATTATAAAGTTCTATAATCTATTTTTAAAAGATACCATAGAGTCTGACACATCTGTTTCATACTTAGATATTTTACTTGAAAAAGATCTTAAAGGTATTCTAACGTCCAAGCAATATGATAAACCTGATGACATTAACTTTTCTATCGTTAAATTCCCTTACTTAAAAGCAATATGCAGCAATATACCTTCATCACTGCATACGGAGTGTATATATCTCAGATGATTCAATACGCAAGAGCTTGCTCTACGTATGAACAATTTCTAAAACGAGGTAAATTATTAACAAGCAAGTTGATGAAACGAAAATATCAGCAGTATCATTTAAAGTCATCATTTCGTAAGTTCTATGGTTGATACAATGACCTTGTCAGCAAATACAATTTGTCAAATGCTGACTTTCGTTTTTTATACTAATTGTTAGTCCATTATTTACACACTGAATAAACGACGGATTTTTCCGTTATTCCCTGATCATGACAAAAACACACGGCTGTAGTTACCGGTCAGCATGGGATGTTTACTCCTCCATGGCACCTGACCCCATCTCTGATGTTTCGGAGGTCCATGTTTGCTTTGCTCTTATTTTGTATTGTTTTATGGAGTTTGAGTTTGAATACTGTTCGTTATCTCCATATCCTTCATGCAACAATGAATTATCTACATGTACCTGTAAAATATGTTCTGAAAATAAATACGCTTTATCTGTAGTGTGTGTAGATTTTCATATTGTAACCATCTTAAACAATAGGTCGAGATTTTACTTCTTATAAAATCATCAACATTCTGACTGCTGAAGATAGGATTGTAGATACGAAATCCGATACTGTAAAATCACATATTTTCTAGGGGTCGAATATATATTGGTTCACGAGAATTTGATTTTGTGGTTGAGATTGAATACTGTTCTTTATGTCCATTTCCTATATTTTGAAGTTTAAGAATTGTGCAGTAGAAATATATTCTAAAAAGTGCATTTCGTGGTGAAAATTAAACCCCCTCAAAAATTAGTGAATTCACAATATGTTTTAAAAGTATTTGTTTAAGTAAATAATTGGAAGATTTAATTATGCAAACTTTAAGAAAACCCCTTTCCATTCGTATCCTTCTTGGTGAAAAAAGATTTCAATTAAAACTCTAGAAATCTTTAAAGCAAACCATTTAATTCTCGTCAATTGATTTTGATTGTCTTATCATCATATAAAAATATTTATCTTATTGTAAA